ACGGAGTAAGGAGACCGCGCTGCGGGCTGGAGCGGGGGGTTGGGTCTGTGTGGCGGGATGAGGGGCAGGAGCAGGAGGAGGAGGAGGAGGAGGACAAGTGTCCTGAAGGAGGGCTGTTTTGTGGAGAGAGACAGGGCCGGGGCATCAAATATGTGTTGGTTTGATTTGTGTGTGTGTGTGTGTGTGAACGCTGTTTACTTTGCAGTGTTGAATCACACTGTGAACGTATTGTTCCAGATGCTGTGTACAGTATAGAGGCGAGATGTCAACCAGGATATGTGTTAAACTGTGCTACTGAGTGTGAGGTTGTATCCCCCCCCCACCTCCATACCCCCCCCTTTTCCTCCTCTTCCTCCTCTTCCTATTCTTTGATTTATGATGCTGGTTGGCAGTATGTATATGTGTGTGAGTAGGAGGCAGAGGAGGGCGGAGAGGAGGAGACGGAGATGCTGTGGAGATGAGTGCTTATTTATAAAACACAGAGTCCCTGGAGAAAAGACAAGAAAAAAGGAAAAAAGAAATCAATTTCCCGGGGCGAGTCCTACTTTATTATTTGCATAGATATCGGACGGAGAAATTCAAAGCAGGCGGAGGAAGAATTTCGATGCGGGCTGACAGGGAGGTGGGGAGATGGACGGGCAGTGATGGAGAGAGGGCAGAGGGAGGGGCATATGTGTGCAGGCCGGGGGTTTGTGGGTTTGATGGGAGTTTGCAGGTGAGGACCACAGGGTGAGGAACCAGTGATGACACCATCAGATTAAAACCAGGAATATTGAGACGTAATTTGAAATTGAGTCGTTATAAGAGTTATAATTTCAAATCTTTTTTTTTTTTTTTTTACTCTTGGTAAAATTAAACACAAATTTAATTTAATGTATTTTAGCCACTTAGCAGAGCAGGCACTTTACCACATGTATGAACACTTGAGTTTATGAGTCATACCCTCATAAACAGGATCCAGTAGGATCTTCTTTTTTTTTTTTTTTTTTTTATGAATCTCAAATATTCAAATGCAGTAGAGAGTATGAGGCGTCACAGTTACCCAGGCAGGTGTGAACTGAATACAGCAGAGGCAGCAGCTCTGAGTGGCTGCAGAGGAGAAAGGAAGGTTGGGATCCTTCTGTCAACACTCAGGTCAACAGACACAGCAGAACAGACACGCTTGGCAGCTCCAGCTGCTGAAAATAATGAGATTGAAGCAGATATGAGGCATTAGGAAAAAGGTGTCACATTAATCAGATTGTGTGGCGTCTGAATACTAATGCTCCTTTTATAGTCAGTGATCACAGCAGCCCAAGAATCCAACACGGAACACACCGCCTGCCGTGAGTCCCGCGTAGGACACATTTAATTTGATTCAGACTCGGCAAATATGAACTAAATCTCTGCGCACGACGGAGTTTAAACATCAAAGTGTACGAGAGCGCCGCTCTCCAGGAAGGCTGAGCACGAACAGAGAGTGAGCCCAACTCTCTGGATCTTTGATATGCAATAATCATCAGCAGCCGGTCCAGAGGCGTGGTGGTGTTTATCCTAGCAGAGGATGGCTTCTGTGTGTGCTATTGATCGACCCTTCTCAACTGCAGTCCACACTGCCAAGCAGCGATCAACAGGAGGAGCATCAGGCAGCAGGACTGACTCTGTGGGGTTGGGGGGTGCGGTGTGGCGGGG